CGTATTTGCTTTAACGGACCGTATTGGGCCTTAATGGACCGTATTGGACATTAATGAATCGTATTGGGCTTTAACGAACCGTATTGGGCTTTAACGGACTTTTTAAAATTTAAAATACATTAATGGATCGTATTGGGCCTTAACGGACCGTATTGTGCCTTAACGGACCGTATTGGATTTGGAATATTTGTTGTGTTTGGTTTGATGGATTTGAAATGGAATGGAATAGAATTCCATCCTTTATAAGAAATTTATAGATAGTTATAGAAATAATTAAATTATTTTTTTATTAATGAATTATTAGAAATTCAACATATTTTAAAACATTATAACATACAAATACTACGAAATCCATGAAATCCAAACCACCCCGTTGGATTTCAAAATCTTATGTTTGGCGAAGACTAGTTGAAGTGAAGTTAGACCAACATTAAAGCGGATTGGTTAATCATCTAGCTGATAGTTTGACAAATGTTATCTTGCAAGCCGATTTAAAGAGAATACTTTGGGACCAAGTTTCTTTTACCATATCTAAATCCTAGTGTTGGAACATGTTCAACATGTGTCAGGCATGATAAGTAATATTCATTTACTTTACTATTCACTCTGCACACTAAAGCATGGATGAAGACTAGAAGAAGATGTTTTGTGACCAAGTCTCCAACCCTTGTTCTGGTATGCGAACATGTTTAGAATGTCAGCAAAGGCAAGTTTAAAGGTATCAAAAATACTATTTGATTCTTGCTTTACTATTCACTCAGTATATAGAAGGATGAGTTGAAGCAACAATTGTCTATATCATATCAAAAGGCTGAAATGAAAAGTAATAGGTACATGGATCAACAAATCAAATGAAGACAGACATTGAAGTTGCATTATTGCATTTTATGCACGGACTGCTATAAAAGGCATCCTCTAGATCATATGCAACTTGCACCTTTTGCAGAATCCTCTAGATCATATGCAACTTGCCCCTTTTGCAGAATCCTCTAGATCATATACAACTTGCCCCTTTTGCAGAATAACTGAGAGTTTGTTCTTTCAAATTAGTGTCGTGATATGTGAAGACTATGTTCTTCAAATTTGAAAGAGAACTTTCTTCCCCCCTCTCTTTCAACTTAACAAATTTGTCTTCAATCAGATAGTTAAGAATCATAGGTCTTACCTTTCTAGCTTTCGCAACAGATTTATAGTACTTCTATTTATACAAAATATAGAACAAAAAATTAAAGTGAAAATTTGTTGTATTTGTATTCAACCCCCTTCTACACACACCTGTAGTATAAGTCATTAGTCCTTCCAGAACCAACACTTTTCTAAAAATTATCTTTAATTACACTTAAAAAATCAATTGGTTCTCTAAACAATATATTAGTTATTAATATCATCCATATTTTAGTTGTACATTTATAAATAATTATAGGCATATGTTCATTTGAGAAATAGTAAGTATTTTAGAAGTAGAGAAGTGATCATAGACAGCTCTTCATCTGGTCAAGATTTTGCAGCTTTGACTGTGAAGCACCGAATAATTCCTCACATGGTATGTGGAAGATAAAGGGATAGTTTCATAACTTTTACAAGTAGGCAACAAAACAAGTGCATATGTGAACCCGTGTGATTCACATATGAACTATATATTCATATGTGAACTCGTGTAATTCATATATAAACTATATTTATCATTTAATAATAAATATATTTGTATATATATATACACACACACACACTATATACATATATTAAATACATTAAAAAAAACTTAATCGGAGTCGGATTAAGGGCGGTAAGGCCATCCCCGACCCGCTTCGGGTTTGAAAATAAATGCTCGTCTCCGCCCCGTTACCCGCCAAAGTAGAGAATCCCTAACCCGTTAGGGTTGGTTACCCTCGGGTTCCTGCCCCTACGAGTAAATTTTCCATCTCTATCTCCATTTGACGCATCTAGTTAACTTGAGAAAAATCGAGGAGATAGTGTCTCAGTTAGAATGTACTCGAGTACTTGGCAGCTTGATATATATTATACTATGAATTACAACACGAGATCTAGCAAATTCATTTAGTAGACTTAGTTGTTGTTCACATAATCCTGGTAGACATCATTGGTTTGCACTAGTAAGAATGCTCTGATATCTCAAATATAGATTGAACTATGGATTGAATTATACAAAATTTCTTCCCATTTAGAAGGATATTATGATGCTAATTGGATTTCCACTAATTTGGAAAGCAGCCACATGGGAATATATTTACACTTGATGAAGAGGCAGTGTCATAGAAATCATCAAAATAGATGTTGAATACAAGATCAACTATGGAAGCAAAATTTGTGGATTTAAACAAGCAACAGAAGAAGCAGATTGGCTTAAAAGCTTCCTAGAAGGTGTTCCCTTATAGACAAAGCCTGCAACTGCCATTTGTATACATTTGTGATAGTATGGCAACTCTTATAAGACCAAGAACCAAATATATAATGGTAAATCAAGACATATAAGGTGTTGTCACAATACAATACGAGACTTGCTAAAGAATAGGATTATCTTTATTGATTATATGAAGTCAAATTAAAATATAGCCAATCCTTTGGCAAAAGATCTAAACAGAGAGAAAGTGTCCATATGTTGGAAGGAATGGGCTTAAAGCCAACTCAATAGTTATTACTTGATGTAAACCTAACCTAGCAACATCGGAGATCTCATGGTCTAAGTTAAATAGGAAAACTAGTTGGAGAGAACCCAAGAAGCATGGCACACATGTATGCTCATTCCTATGATAATCTTGGTGTTTTCCCCATTGAAAATTAAGGGTTGTATACTGATCTTAATAATACTAATAGTTTTTTATAGTGGAACAATATAAAAGTTCTTTATTGCCATTACCCCTGTGAGTTACACTATGTACTAGATATGTTGTGTGTGATACTTATTGTCTGCAGTGGCGGATCTAGAAATTTTTATGATTGGGGGCACACTCAAGGGTGTAAAACATTTACAAAACCGAACAACGCATCCTAACTAAGATGGTTTCAAATCATTCGTTGTTCGGCTTAAACAATTCGGCTAATCGAATAAAGATAACTTATTTTGTTTGGTTTCAGTTATACTACTATTTAATATTTTACTACTTCAGTTAAAGTGAAAGTAAGTAAAGGCAATACACATTAATACAAAATTCGATTGATTCATAATGGACCGGATAACTAGATGAAGAAACCACTAAACCGATTTGTAAGAAAACAAATGTTGATATGTGACATTAAACCAAATTGTAAGAAACATAGTAAAAGATAAATCAAAATCCTTAATAGTTAATAAACATATAGGTTAGAGGGCGAAAAGCCAAGAAACTAGATTCAGTTAGAAAGAAATCAAATAACAGAAGACCTAAAAATTAGAAATAAAAGACAAACCAATAGCATACTTCGAATACCAATAACAAACCCAAATTAAATAACAAACTTAATGACCCTAAATCACATAACAAATTAAGGAATTGAAAACTAATAATTAACAAATAATAATAAATGTATATCTATAAAATAAATAAATGCAAAATGAAAGATGGAAAGTTAAAAAAAAATAGTTTATCAAATCAATACCAAAATTAGTGGATATTTGACAAAAAAAAATACAAAATGAACTTCAAACGAAATCAAAATAAGAGGATCAATTAGACCAACATTGTTAATTTATCAACAAAATGTATTAATCATTAAATCAATATAAACAATAAATATTCAATATTTCAAGAGGTTTGATGTTTTTTTTACCAATAGAGAACTGTGAGTGAAGATGAAAGTATGTGAGAGTGTAAGTGAAGTCTTGAAGATGAATGAGTGGAGGATGATATGGAGAGTTGAGAGAGTAAGTGGAGTCTTTAAGAAGATCAATTTTTACTAACCGAGGGCCTGAACAATAAATATTGAAATATTTCAAGAGGTTCCAAAAAAACTTTAACCTGTAGATAGAGATTTTGTTGGGGGCAAGTGCCCTCATCACCAATGCTTTAGATCCGCCACTCTGTATCGTCTACTAGACAAGTGCAAGACTTTGTTCACTACCCACAAAGTAGATCCGATTTTTATTCACTATGAAAGGTTCAAGTTTAAAAGACACATTCTTAAATGTATGTCATATCTTACTTCTTGAATAGAGAAATACATTCTTGTATTACTTATTTTTTATTCAAATGTGGGTATTGTTGGTGTTTGAATAGAAATGTGGAGTATTGTTGGGATTTTTACATGGAAAATGATCTCACATAGAAAGGAAAGAGAAATGTGTGTAAGCTTATAAGGCTTAGTAAATTAGTCAATAGCCCCTCTAAGGGACTTGGATCGGGCCATAGAGGGGAACTTGACATATATTTAAATGTCAAAAAATTGGACCTTAGGCCTTGGGTCCCTTGACTTGAAAAACCAACTTTTACTAGAAACAACAGTCACATGACCTCATACGCAACTAGTATGACTCTGCACAAATCAAATATCGGTTTAACTCCTGCTTACTATATATATATATATATATATATATATATATATATATATTCCCTCTAGAATTTTTGTGATCATCATTTTTCCTTTCCATTTCTTTGGTCTTCTCCCACAAACCGATCCATGAATACCTAAGAAAACTCAACAGATTTGAGTTCCCGTGCACAAACTTGAATAGATAGTTGTATCCTTTAAATAGACGCTCGATACTACTGCATGAGTAGAGGCAAAATTTTGTTTAAGAACATTATTACGTAGACCTCTGTCTAATCCAAGGTTCAAAATAGCGTGAGGCGTGGCGTGGTGGCAAGGTCAAGCCTCAAGCCTTACATGCCACGGCAAGGACACGACGTTTGCCACAACGTGAACGAAGGCAACAAATTAATATATCATATATATTGTTATACATGTACAAATTCATGTTTTATGTTTTTATTCAATGAATACAATGATATCCACCAATTTAAATTCATAATATATGTATTGATATCATATAAAGAGCTTACATGTGATGATAAAGCCACCAAAAAGCTACATAGTTACATGTGATGTTAAAGCCAACAAAAAGTAATGTATAAATCTAGAAGCTCATTGCAAATAGTATGTTAGATACTTAGGAGTTGTTTACCCAAATGTTTACCCGGTAAGTGCTTACTTATAGGAGTTAATACTATAATTTACCTTGATGCGTAAGATTTTAGTACATCAAAACGTATCGAATGCAACAATTTACCGGGTAAGCACTTACCTGGGTAAGAGTCGTCATTTTCACTTACCGGGTAAGACTCTACATCTTTCTCATCGCTCTTACCCCTTAAGATTTTTGGCCCTTGTCATGTTCATACGATGAGGAAATTTACCCGGTAATCACTTATTAAGCAAGCGTTTAGTAAACGGCCCCTTAGATTAGACGTACGAAATGAAGCTATAAATGCATGTAATCTTTTATACTTCTCCATAAGTCCATTGCCAAAAGTATGTTAGATACCAAGTCGCTATTCTGATATTTGATATTTCAGAAATATTCAAATAAGTAAAATAAATACGAGGATTTTTAGTTTTAACCTTTCACCTTTTAGTTTTAACTTTTCACCCTTTAACAATTTAAAACATAAAAAACCCAAATTGTAAAAACCATCAAAATAATAACCACGCCTTACCAAAAAGAATGGACGTCATGTCGCTCCTCAAGCTGTCATAGCATGAGCCACGCGTTATACAAACGTTATGGTCTGCTTCATAACTGCAGAGACATGTCTTATGTCATATCACGTCATGAGACGTCTTTTTGAATCCTGATATAATCTTCAAGCAATCTTCGATTTCAAGTTGTATCTCTACTACTTTTTATAAGAATTTTTATATACTGTATGTCTACGTACACGTTTTCTGTTTTATATAAACTTTGTTTACACATAGCACATAAATATATACACATATTATTAGAATTTCTGTTTTTGGTAATCTTGGTTCTAACAATATACACATAACACATATAAACACTAATTTGTGAACCATATTTTTGAGAGAACAAAATAAATAATTCTAATAATCAACACCGATAAGTTATCGGCCCAAGTATGCAAGTTAACAATAAAGAAAGGACATAGGCATAAAATAGTAACATACTTCATGTTTATTTTTGCTATAATATTTTATTTTTATTATTTCTTATTACAACAATATACTTTAAAGTTATATTTTGTTAATGGATTGTACTTTAAAAAATTTACACATTTATAGTAGTGGGTGATGTTTTCATTTGAATTAAGATGATATGACACAAGTTACAAGGTTTTTATGTCATGTCTTTGTCCGACCATGTGTAACATATTGTTGATGTGACATTTTCACAAAAAATAAACTTTACGCATTATTTAATAAATGTATTTAATTCATTAAAAAATTAATTATTCATTAATATAATAATATTAAGAAGACTTATAGATCAAGATTTACCTCCATAACTTTTCAAAAGTTGAACAAAGAAAAAAGAATTATTACATAATTTTACAAACAAAAATTAATATTAAAAAAAGATCATGTTATTAAAAATTGACTTGAAATATTATTTAATAAATATATTAAATTAATTAAAAAAATTAAATTATTTATTAATATAACAGTTTTAAGAAGATATTTTATGTTTCAGAAAATGTTAAAAATATGTATTTTTTAAATAAAAAAAATAAGCATTACTTTTTCTTATAAATAAAATATTTTACTTTGAAAAAAATATGATTTTTGTTTAAAGAATATGTTACTCTAAAAATCATTTAATTTACATACGATTTAATAAAAGTGAATTTCTTAAAAAGAAATTTTCAAAGAGAGGGAGAAAGCATAATTTGAGTGGATATGAATAATCACGATGGAAAGAGGAAAACTATTTAAAAAAAAATAAAGATGATTATAATGATGTGTCATTTATGTCATCTCATTTAAGCCATGTAAGTAAAAACAGAGAAAGATTAACCGATTTAAAAGATAACAAGTTACCTATTATTATAATGGGTAGATTTTTTACAGTACAATACGTTAATAAAAAATTACTTTAAAAATATATTGTAGTAATAAAGAAAAACGAAAGTAAAATGGTATAATAATTTTTGTATAGAAGTATGTAATTATTTTGGTAGCGTTCGATACGTAAACTGGATGGGACGAGACTTGATAGAATTCGACAGGACAGAACATGACTAGACTGGTCGTCTGTTTTGCGTTTGGTACAACTAGAATAGGACTGGAGAATGATGCATCTGATTTTGTGATATTTTTATTTTAGATTTTTAGAGGGTAAGATAGTTAGTGATGGTTTTTGTCCAATGTTGTTCCACATATTTGGATGGAAGTGAAATTGAGGTTCTTGCTTCATGGCATCCTAAACATAAAACTAAAGGGGTGTTTAGGATTGCTTATAAAAGCTATTTTTTAACTTATTTCAGTCTGGTACCGGTAATAAGTTGTTTTCTGGTGTTTGGATAAGAAAAAAAACTACTTATACTGGTACCAAACCGGCAATAAACTGTTTTTGATAAGTTAATCCTTCATGACTTATGAAAAACTGTTTATTACCAGTTTACAATTTTAACCATGTTTTATTAAACTCCCATTTGATACCACATAAGTTAATAAGCACTTTTACAAAAAAAACATAAGTTGTTTTAAATAAGCAATCCCAAACACCCCTAATTTTTTCTTGTCCATCATGTACCATACAACCATGAACACAACCATTACCAAAACAATCTAATAAAACTTGGTGACATGCGGAATTCTTATGAAATCTTAAATATGAATACTCATGAACACAACCATTACCAAAACAAGCATACCAAGTTTGAAATATCGATTGATATCTCACAGATATTATAGATTTCATAAACCGAACCTACCAAATATAAACACAGATAACACTAGTCTCCTCGTAAAGTTGCTTGCAAAAACATACTTCTCATGGCCGTGAAAATGTTGTTTTTTACTGTGGGTTCGGTGGACGGCTGTTGGCAGCCGATACTCTTGACCCCCATTCAAGCAATTCTTTGCTCGTATCGTCCTTGTGAACTATCACTTCAATGAAGCACAAACAATCCTTCTTTGCTCCTGTTGCCGTAGCAATTGCTTCAACAAGCTCCTCTTCACAAAACACCTGCAGCATCAATCAAAGGCTGTTTATGAAACCAAACCCAATACAGACAGATAAGGTGTACGCAGACCATACCTCTATCTTAATTTCATTGAAGACCTCTGGTTTGTAAAACTAAAATTAACAGGAAACAAGTGTTGTAGTGGCAACGGACTGTTTGCCAACAAGCATCAGGCACGGCACAGTACGATGAAACAAACTACTAATTTAAGCAAGAGGAAAACGAGGTCCGACAAATAGTGGAAACAAGGAAAAGCCATGAGCACCGATCAAAGAGACTTTCTATCATATCTATAAAATAAAAAATTAAAAGTTAAAAATTTCTAAGAAAGTACCCTTAACTCCAACCATTTCAGTATCTCGAGAGATTTTAAAATTCATTATATTATTAAAATATTCTATAATATTATCATCCCAATAAAATTTTAATTTTTTTATAAGAAATAATAATGCATTCACCCTCACTGCTGAAAATAATAAAAGAATAAAATTTTTCCAAACTTGGAGATTTTTATATTATTTCTCCAACTTTCCCCAATTTAGAGAATTTCTTGAAGGAAAAGAGTTGCATAAAATCCCTAAATATCCATTTTCTCTATTTTAAAGGATTTACTAGATATGCTATAAGGTTGGCATATAGTAAAACGACAAATACTAAAGGGTTGTTTGGTTGATTTTCGTCAAGTCCTGTATACACAAAGTTGTCCGTTTAATTAATTTGTTTAGAAGGTCTTTGTTAGGTTTTTTCATCTACGGGAGGGGCGTGTTTTTGACTTGGAAGGGCAGATTTGAAAAAAAAAATATGGCTTTCTGCAAGCAGCTCCACCCTAGAAGCTTATTTAAGCAACTTTCTATATTTGTAATCTACTACCACACAATCATGCATAACTAACCATATAGGCTATAAATTCCGTTAAGCTCGTTGAGGTACTAACAAGCATGCCGTAAGGCTGAATAATAGTTACAGGGTCCCACAAGTAGATGCTTAAAGGGGATACGGGAGGTAGGAAAAACCTCACCTTGCTTGTCCAACACTTGCCCTCACCATTGTGGATTGCATCAATGAGAGCAGTGTAGTTCCAATTCTTGATCACATTGTATGGCCCGTCATGGATCTCTACTTCAATGGTGTAACCACCATTGTTTATCAAGAAGATGATGGTGTTTTGTCCACACCGCAGCATTGTCGACACATCTTGAGCTGTAACCTGTATTAACCAACACCATTGTTGTTCACTGTTTTTGCCATCAATATATAGAACTTGATTCTAACTTGAATGTTATGAAACATACCTGAAAGCTGCCATCACCAATGCAAGCAATTACCCGTTTGTTGGTTGCGGCTTGTGCATACCCAAGTGTTGCACCCACTGACCACCCAATCGATCCGTATTGCATCTGGAACTCATACCTGCAAAATAAATATACAAGATCAAAATTCAAACTTGAAAATGTAGCAAATTTGCTGAAAAATGATCAATAGTCTGATGTAATCATAGGATACTTGACTTGCGAGTGTTTGGCATTGCAAAAGATTACCCGCATCCGATTGGTAATTTTAGCTTCTGGCAATTGAACCAGGAATCCCCAGTTTCAGCAATGACAGCAGTATCACCTGACAACATTTTCTGTATGTGCTGAAACAGAATGTTAACCCTCAACGGCTCCTTAGGCTCGCATTTGAGAGGACTCCCATCTGGCACATAGATCCGATGATAATTCTCATAGGCGGTCGTGTTCTTAGTAAGCCTCTTTGCCAAACCTTGCAAGAAATCCTTCATCAACACACAACCAAAAGTTGGCCCGTTACCAATCATTACTCGATCAGGAAGCACGATTATTGTCTTCTCTTTCTTGAGAAGGAGAGAGTAACCCACAGAACTGTAATCATTGAATATAGGTCCAGCAAATAAGTAAGCATCAGCAGATTCAACAATTTCTGCACAAAAAGCTGTGCTTACAGCACCCCAGTATGTGCCAATAAAATGGGAATGGTGCTCTGGAACTAGCCCTTTTGCTGATGGCATCACAGCTACCGCATAACCACATGCATCAGCCAATTCGACAAACGCACCGCTCGCCTTGGCCACACGCATTTTAGGGCCAGCAACCATCACAGGCTTCACTGCCTTGTTCAAGAACTCTGCTGCTGCATCAACAGCTGCTTCCAAACCCATCAGGTTACTCAACCTACACCATCCATACACCACACAATTTCAAAATCATATCAAATGTGATTAATCACGTGTCTGCGGATTTTAAGAAGGATAGAGGGGTGCATAACCATTTTGGAGAAAAAAAATTATAATTAACTTTTTTACTTATTATGCTAATTATTTACTGCCCTATTTGGAAGATTTTCTGGATGATCATCAGAATCTGATCTTATCAATCTTGAAACATGCCTATAAGATATGAAACTTATTTGTACAACTCACTTGGGCGAGAGAGAAAACGGAACTGGTTCCCGGCTAAAAGTAGGATGAGGAATGGCAGGCAAATTGCAACTGATGCTGATATAAACCGGCTTGCTTTCTTTTAACGCAGTTGAAATCGCAGTATCGATCAGTTCATGTGCATCTTCCAAGTTGTTAACCACAGCCTACATTCAAAATTCTAACAAACTTAGAAGCACATTCATCATGTTTAGATATTATCACAATCATCCTAGATCTCAGCCACAAGTATTCAATCTATGAACAGATCAAACACATATTGCTCAAACCAAGAATTCTAAAACATTATAATAAAATTGATAAGAATGTTTAAAATAACGCCCGCGCTTGTGATTTCGAGTTGATAAGAATAAGTCATCATCGCTACGAACATATGCAGGCAACTATAGTTTTACAGATCGAGTTATGCTAAAGATGAACAAGATCATATCGCGCATCAAAGAAATGTGTAAATATATACCTGATAGCAAGTGACGGTCTGAAAGCAACGAAGCTCTTGGCTGAAGTCCGGCAACCCGATCGTATGATGAAGAATCCTATTAGTACCATAATCATTCGAATTCGGTCCACCGACTATACAAATCAGCGGTAAATTCTCACTGTAAGCTCCGGCAATAGCGTTGATGACACTCAGACCGCCGACGGTGAAGGTGACAACGCATGCTCCAACGCCGCGGGACCTAGCGTATCCATCAGCTGCGTATCCAGCGTTGAGCTCGTTGCAGCAACCGACGAGGTTAAGCCCAGGCTCAGCGATGAGGTGGTCAAGCAAAGTGAGGTTGAAGTCACCGGGTACAGAAAAGACATCAGAGATACCGATCTGGACAAGGCGGCGAGCCAGGTGTCGGCCGAGAGTAGCCTCGGAGAAGTTGAAAGGAACGGTGGAAGTCTGAAGGGCGGAAAGGCCACCGTGTGGCGGAGGACAGCAGACGTCGCTGTTTGGGACGGCGACAACGTCCAGTGAACCAATTTTAGTATCCATCAAGTGTAGGATGACACGAGTCCGCTGGTAAGTACAGAAAGAGAGAGAAAGGAGTGTGATATTGAAGCCTGAAGGAAACGGCGAGTCCGTGTGTATATATATTATATATCTACCAGCTGGTAATGTGATCTTTCACAAGAAGTAGAATTGTAAATACAATCGGCGGCTTTAAAATGGTTTCTGAAACAGCGACCGCCCAAAACAATTGAACTTTCTGCCCCAAAATGAGATTATAATATTTTGATATTTAAAAAGTTATTTTATTCATAATATGATAGGATAAAAATCTTTAAGGTTTTGTTTTACATGATTTTTTTTCGTCTAAATATAGCATCTGGTTAATATATATTTGTTTCATAACGTGTTCCTTTCATATGTATTTATTTCACAATGTGAAGCTTTTTTACGTATACTTGTTGTTTCACAAGCACATCAAAAATGCTCACGTTGTGAACATAGTACATGTAAAACAAAAACATTCTGAAACAAATAGATGTTAATCAATATTTAAAATCCTAGTCTTAGATGAAAAAAAAATCATATGAAATAACACATGATGCACAAGTTATCAAGGTTATATATAATTTCATGAATTATCAAAAGAAGGGCCCCCATATATATATTATCCATAAAAACTTATTGATAAATACAAAGGTCGGGTTTGAAGGGTATCACTATCTCCGGCCAACTTGAAGATTTCTGATTAAACTGAGTTTAGATATCGGGTTCCCATCGAATACTGGACTCTTTTACCATCTCTGCTCTCCACCAAACCTTTGGTTAAAATATTAAAAGAATTTATCAAATATTAAGCATACATAGTTTTTAAATTGCAAGTTTATGATTAATTATTATTTTTTAAATCTAAGATACTTCATTATGGTGTTTTATTCAATACAAAAATATTTAGTAGTATAGTTAAAATAAATTACTTTTTTATTTTTAATCCAATATAATTATTCATATAATTATATTATGAATTAAATAAATTATATTTTTAATCCAAATCGATTGTGTGATATATGATGTTCAATTGTGTAGCGAACCAACAACTTTTTTTTATTCTTAATGTGAAAATACAAATATAGAATTTATTCGATTCGTGTGTGTTGATATATCATGTTAAAGTTAAACAAGTGAATATGGACAATATCTATTTTGTAAATATCTAAAATTTTAAAACTATTCATATATAACTAACCGATAAACACAAAAAAATTCGAGATATAATGCCTCATTTTCATTTTTTTTCAATAAAGTATATTATTTTTTTAATTTTAAATATAAAATATTTTAAATATAGTCATCATTTAAATTAAACGAACCCCTAACAAAATACTTTTCATTATTTTTTATAAAAAAAATGATTAAACTAAAATAAAANATTAAACTAAAATAAAATATATTTTTATTTTAAATTTAAATTATAATAAAAAAAAGTCAAATAAATTAAACCAGAAAGTTAGAATTTTATAATCTTTAGTTTAAACTCATATTAATATACAAGAAAAACTAATTACAAAACAAAATATGAATCATGATTGAGGGTTCGAGTTCTAGATTTCAGAACCCCGCTGCGTTGTGCGTGTACACTTCTAGTAAACTTAAAGAATGACTAAAATGAAAAAAAGAGACATATTTGATGTTTTAGAAAAAAATTATTTTTTATTTGAAGCGTATATTGCTAAATTATAGACCTACTCTATCTTGTTTCACCTTGTTCCATGAAGCGGGATGGAAGACACATGTTCTACCAACGATCTTTTTTTATTCTGTATATCTTGTCCAATGTATGAAACATACCCTTACAATCATTTTTTCGAATTATAAACCATTAAATGAACTTTTGAACGATAATTCAGCCAAATAAAAATATATTTTATTTCATGTAAAGTTGATTAGGAATCATTGGCTTAAAGAAGAAGTGGTATTATGAGGTTTGTCGGGTATCTTAAAGGGATTCATTCCCACATAACCTCCACTTTCATTTTTATATCACTAAAATAATAGAGTAACTTTTATGCTTTTAACATCAAATTTCATAATCCTATTTTAACTTAATAACCATAACTTGTTTATGTTGATGTTTATGTACAACTTATTTAGAAAGCTTCGTCAATCATAATCCCTTGATATCTCTCCAGCAATCTGTCGCTAAAATAACGAAATTCAAATCTCCCACAAACTCTCAAATTGTATCCCTAAAAACAGCTGCAAGAAAGGATTAAGGAGGAACAACGAACGTTTTCTGGGAGAGAGATTTCACGAGGTCCAGAAAATGGAGGGGGGACAACAACCGGTAGAATGATTTTCTGTTGGGAGTTCTCTTATCTTTCTTTGTTTTTGGTTTTTTGTACTTTGTTTCGTTGTTTACAGCATTAGTAATAATGAACAATCGTAAGATGTAGGAAATCCATATACAGTAGAAAGTGCCAACGTAATAAACTTAATCCAACTGTAGCGGCAGCGAGAAAGCAACATCTCATTCAAATCAAGATATCAATTGTAGTCTTTAAAGCCACCCCAATCCCTAAAATTGAAATTGAATGAAACTCGATCAACCACGTTTTTTCTGATTTCACTTATTTTTTTGATTTGAAAAATCTGATTGGCTTTTAGTTATTTCGTGTACATGAAGAATTGATGTGGGTTTATCCTTATCGGTGTAACTTTACTTCTCATCGGAGTTTAAACCTGATGTATTTCATATTTGATGAAATTAAATATATAAATATTAAAAAAAAATTGTAAATAAAAGTAATAGTCGACAAGCAATTTGCATTGAATTGAAAAAAGAGAAGATTCGGAGTGATTTAAGGGGAGAAGTCAAGAATGAATGGTGCGTTGGGGATGTGGGGTACACGACCAACGTCTACGTACGACAACCGCGTTATATATCAAAACCTTTTTTACAATTATTTAAAATAAATTTCATTTTTTGTTTTTTATTATTATTATCAAGTGTACCTACTTTTTAACCTAAGGGTGTGTTTGGTGCGCAGACAGGACAGGACAATTGTTCAATGTTTGGTAAGACATGACAGGACAAAACAAAACTGATTAAAATGACCAATTTACCAATAACGTTATTTTGCTTATGTACTAAGTTAAAACATATGCAAAACAGTTTCCCAAGAACTTATTATTGTCCTTAGCAAGATTGGAGGGATTTTGCTTGGGGAGTGAACAAACAGATGTTGTTGAAGAACTGATGGGTATTCAAGACAGTCCATGAATCCAAAAAAAACTTCATAACTTGACCTAATTCGAAACACAAAAGCACAAAATACAGGCAAATAACAAACATTCTATATTTTTATCCAATTCATATGCTAATGATCAAGAGATGCGAATCGGAAACTAAGGCAACGTCTCAAAAACGAAGAACACAGGCAAGCATCACTACGAAGTCCTAAAAACAATCAATCAAATGTCATTACAGATAATCAAAAGATGCTAATCCAAATAACTCATAGAACATCAAAAAAAAAACGAACATTAAACATCAGCGAAACGTATTGGCATCAGAACAGTTCATATATCGATTAAAACGAAGAACACAATCGAAATCGAAGAACCCATTATCCTTGCTGTTTCAGATATAGTTATGCAAATCGAAGTAGAAAACAGCAAAATCGAGTAGAAAACAGCAAAATCGATTAGAAAAATCGAGTAGAAAACAGCAAAATCGAAAGTTCAGAGGGCACATTTTACACTTGCTGTTGAGTTATGCAAAATCGAAAAACAACAGGGTTCTTCTAAACGATCGATGAAGGAGAGGAGAGATCGATTACCTGAGAGTATGGAGAAAGGAGAAAGGTCGAACGATTGGTGATGTCGATTTGTGAAGGGAAACGACTCTGTCCAGGCTGCCGTCCGCCGATTGATGAAGGAGACGGTGGAAGATGGAGGCGACAATGTGAAGATGGAGGCGACAATGTGAAGATGGAGGGTAGATAGGTCAAATGTTCCTTGTTCTAGTTAGTTCCATGGGGGGAAGGGTGGACAACCGTGTCCTACCCGTGTTCTACCTTGTTCTAGTTAATCCCACATAAAACCACACCAAACATGGGACAAATGTGTTCTGTCCAGTCCTGTCCCACCCTGTTCTGCC